CCGGGTTGGGCCCCCCCTCCCCCCCGCCCCCCCCAGGCCCCCTCCAGTGGCCGCCCCTCCAGCGGCTCCCCAACTCCGCGGTTCACGAGTAAAGGCATCTCTGCTCCCCGGCTCAGCTCTCACCGTCGGGGCTGCGCTCTGCCATGGGAGGTGACCCCAGCTCCCGCCAGCCCAGAAGGCCATGGCCAGCGCGTCAGGGTTACCTTGGCGACTCCAGCTACGCCGAGGTCTCCTCCTACGCAGGCGCGGGCCTCTTCGGTTCCCAGGGCTCCAGCGTCCGCGCCAAGCTGCACCCGCTCCTCTCTCCTCTCCGAGGAACCCCGCCACCGGGAGGCCCGCTGTCTCCCCAGTATACCGCTCGAACCCTCCTGTACCCCTGGCATGGCGTTGTATCCCTCCCACCTCGTTCGACCCAGCTCAGCAGAGAACTTAGTAGGGCAGGCTCTTGGGGACAAGGAGCAGGTGACTGGGGGCGGCGGCGGGGGGGTCCGCTCCCTGCTGCTAGGTCAATCAGCACTGCGTGCCCTGAGTGGTTTCTGGATGGGACCAAGGAAAGAAACAGCCAAATCCACGAGAGGCCTGGCCCTGGCCGGAAGCACCCCTCAGCCCTCCAGTTTACTCCCTGGTTCCCGGCCAGGTGAGCCATTGCCCCCAGAGCTGGAGACGAGTGGGAGCTCAGAGCCAGCGGCCGTTCCTGCCCCACACTGGAAAAGTGACCAAAGCCCACGTTCTGCCCACAGGAAGTCTGCAAGGTCTTCTCGCTGGAGAACAGGTGAGCTGGGAGATCTATTTCCACAGCTGTGACCCTCCTAAGATAGGCCCTGAACAGAAGGCAAGGAAGATCCAGACAGGAAGCTGGGATTAACACCCCTGGGGCGCCCTGTCCACCCGGCCCCACCCCGCCCTCTTCAGCTCCCCTCCCCTGCCCAAGGGAGTCCTGGAGTCTGGGAGCCGCAGGGCCGTTCTGCCTGCTCCTCGCTCCTAATGGAGTCTCCAGGGAGGTTGCCTGTGGCCCGAGCATTCGCTGCCACCTCCCCCCAATGCCACCTCCCCCCAATCACATCAACAGCAACCCACAAGCTGAGATCCTGGCACCGTGGTCCTGCCGGGAACAGAACCCAGACTGTGTCCCCATCTTCACCCTCATTCCAGGTAGAAAGAAGCAGCCCTTGTCTCACCATCACCAGCCTTGACCAAGGAGGCGCCTGTGTGTGCAAGCTGCCCCACTGATCCCTGGAGACAGAGGGGTGTCCTCTGTGGTTCCAGCATTGCTGGACGGTGAAAACGTACCCATGACAAGACAGTGGACATGCGAGACTACGTAGTCTCCTTGGGTGGGACAGACAAGAGGGGCTCACAGCAAAGAGAGGACTCCATCACCAAGGATGGAGCTCTGACTGCGGGGGGAAGGCCGTCCAGGCTGGGACACAGCGAAGGCCCGGGTACAGGAATGAAGGACCTGCGGTGGCTCAGTGGGTCATGCTGTCTGACTGTGGGGAGGAACTCGTCAGAGGCCCAGTGGCCAGGTGGGCTTGGGTAAACTCGAAGGCCAGATTACAGAATGCCGGCTCCGCCACGTGGGTGATGGAGAGCCGTCCAGGGTTTGGAGCAGGAGAGCAGTAAGGGACGATGTACAGCCGTGTCAGGAGATACAGTTTGTTCCTCACATCTTTGGCTGTTCCTCACGTCAGCCAAAACCAGAGCTAGCAGGGATCTGATGGGGATGTACCTCCTGGGGGACTGCTTCAGCCATTGGCCACGCCATTGATGCAGAAAGAGCTCAAGACAGTTTAGTGAAAAAAATCAGTAAGGTGGGACCAGCAGGTGGCGCTGTTGTTAAGCGCTGGACACTCCCATGTGGCTGACCATGAAGTGAGTCCTGGACCTGGTGGCTTGCTTTCTCCCTTCCCTCTCTCTCTCTCTCACTCTGTGTGTGTGTGTGTCTCTCTCTCTGGTCAAATTAAAATAAGTGAATGAATAAATAAAATTAAATAATTCTTTTAAAAGTTAGTAAGCATATTTTTGTTTTAAAAATCCTGTGTTTATATGGGTCATTGTACATATATTGAATGTGTCTATGTGTTTTGGTGGGAGGCATCAAAAAGTTCATGGAGGGACCAGCAGGTGGCGTGATGGTTAAAGGCTCTGGATTCCCACATGGCTGACCATGGTTTGAGTCCTGGACCTGGCAGCTTGCTTTCTCACTTTCCCTTTCTCTTTTTTTCTCTCTCTCTCTGGCCAAATTAAGAAAAATAATAATGATAACAAATAGAGTTAAATAAATATTTTTTAAAAGAAATTCATGGAAAATGTGTATTCTAAAAAAGTATGCATGGATTTCAGTTTTTGTCCTACCAAAATAAACTCGTGCCTTAATTCCAGTTTCTCTTCGAAGTGTCCTCACATACATGTTGAGAGAAGGCGCCACTGAAGAGCAGCTGTCAGAGGCCGCCTGCCCTAGCTTCCCCCCGGGTCTTCTGCAGATGGTTCCTATGTTCACCTGTGTCTCTGCCTAAGGGGCCTTTTCTGGCCACAGGTGAAAGAGCTCACAAGTAGGCCCAGAGCAACCTGCAAGCAACCCGGAAGGGAGCCGAGAGTCGCACTTCTGGCCTCTTGGCTCGGTGGGACAGCTCTGAGATGTCTCCCACACAGACTGTCAGCGATGCCCGGTGCACCTGAGCCCTGTGACCCTGTGGTCGTCGCTCGTAAGTGCACACTTTACTGGCCCTTCTCCTTTCCCCGTCTCTTCCCCTCTCCTCACGGTGCTCCCTGGAATGTCCTTCCGCATAAACTTGCTCCCAAATCATCCCAGAGTCTGCTCTGGGGGCTAATCCCAACTAAGACCCCAGCCTCCTGCCTTTCCACATCTGCCCCCAGGCTGCTGTAAACTCCGGGAAAAACAGTTACTCCAGGAGCCGTCTGATAAGTGTGTGTTCAGAGAAGTAAAATAATGAAATAGACATTGAAGAACATTAGTCTGGGCATCTGGTTGTCAGTGGATTTAACTGAGGCAAAAATGGACGCGATGAGGCTGCCGAGGAGGCTGCCACCCTCGTCTCTCTAAAAGAAGCCCACAGGAGTCTGGAGGTGCTTATGGAGAACAGGCAGGAATAGGTGGTAATCCCCATACCTCAGAAACAAAATTTCACGTAGGTTGAGTCTTGGTGGTGGCAAGTTGATGGTGTACTGAACTGCAGGACAGGAAGCCACAGGCTGACCACAAGTTCAGATCCCCAGCCAGGCTGACCTGAAACACACCAGGTACATGTCCAGACCCTGAGGGGTTCGAGGCCTGGGAGAAAGGTATCACATTGTGACCAGACCCCTTGAGGGTGCTTGTCTCTCTTATGTATACCTGTGATCTCTGTCGTGAATGAATGAATGAAGTCACTGTTTTTAGAATTAGTTATTTAATTTTATTTACGATTACTATTTTAATTTGCTATAGGGCACATGCACTTACCAGAGAGAGGGAAAGCAAGAAAGCAAGCTGCCAGGTCTGGGACTTGAACCACGGTCGGCCATGTGCGAGTCCAGCACTGTTAACTACCACACCACATACTGGCCTCCTAAAGTTGCATATTAACCCAACATGACACTTGTATTTGGGGACACAAGGCTGAGGTTAAAAACTAGCCCCTAGTATTCAGTCAGGATTTTTCAAAAGAAACTGCAAGCATTTGCTGTTTGAAGAAAAACGCCATGCACTTACGTACTTGAGCTGTTGCTTAGAGAAGGTCGAACGTCAGGCCAGCAGAGTGGAGGAGACTTTCTGGCCACTTTCCTGCCTTCTATTCTTTGAGACATCGACCACTCCAACTATTTCCTGTCCATTTTTTTCCCATGGAATCTCTTGTTTGCATCTTTGGATTTTTGTTTGGTTCTGTTTTGGTTTTAGTTTTGGTTTTGTTTTGACTTTTGCAAGACAATGTGTATCCAAAGTTCTCCTTGTTGACGTGCAGATCTATTTCTAGGAATAAGCTAAATGTGGGGAAATGTTTATACTCAAATGTGTTCATCACACTGTCATTATATATTATTTTAGGTTTTTGCTGTAGGGCACATGTGCTCTCCAGAGAGAGAAAGAGACAGAGAGAGGGAAAGTGAGAAACCATCCCCTAGTGGGGATGGCCATGCCATAATACCTTCTCCTCCATTCTCTTCTTGGGATTTTGGACACGCACACACATGCACCCAGCATGAGTTTCAAGTCACCAGGTCCTGGGCTTAAATTGGTTGGTCATGTGGGACTCCAGTGCTTAAACATCATGCCACCTGCTGGCCCCCACACTCTTATTTATTTATTTATTTATTTAGGAGTGGTTTTTGTTATAGAGCACGTGCACTTGCAAAAAAGACAGAGACAGAAAACGAGAAATCACCCCCTGGGTGGATGGCCACATTGCAATCCCTTCTTCCCCATTGCAATCCCTTCTCCCCCATTCTCCTCTCGGGATCTTGGGCACACATGTACATGCACCTGGTGTGAGTTTAAGCCACCAGGTCTGGGACTCAAACCATGGTCAGCTACATGGGAGTCCAGCGACATAGCCATTACCCCAACTGTTGCCCCCCCCAACACACAAACACTGTTATTTTTAAGAGTAAAATATTGAGCACTGGAGTCAGATGATGGTGCAGTAGTAAAACACAACACTCTGTGAGGCAGCCCCACATGAGAAGGTTCTGGATTGTGCCTGGAGATTTCTGGAGAATTCCCTAAGTGCACCAAGCATGTGTGTGCCCATGATTCTGGGCTGTGAGGCTGGGGGTGGATTGTGGCATTAGGACATTGTCAGGAGTGCTGTTTCTCTCTCTCTCTCTCCCACTCACAGAATAAATAGGTAAATAAAAACTTTAAATGAAAATCATCCAATATCCAGTAATAGGGAAATAGATAAATTAAGGCAACCCACTCAAAAGAAATGTTCAGTCATTAAAGACCACGGAGCTAGAAAAATGAGCTACCTCCCACTCTCCTCAGATGGAAACAGATAGAAAATGGCCCTTTCTAAGAATTTGGGAATTTCAGTGCTTGTTTCTGGTGCAGGTGAGGAACTGCTGTCCAGAGAGTGACCACCCAGTAATAGGTCCTGTCCCTGTGCCCAGTTCCAAAGAGGCACAACTTAGAAGGAGCTAGAACATGAGTATTGAAGGAAAGGAACCGAATATTACTCTGCAGAACTATGTGACTGACTGGATATGGAGGAAAGCAGGAGCCTTGAAAACGGGAGAAGAAATTCAGTGTTCCTGCTTCAAGGCCCCGGCTGCATTCTTTCTTTCTCTCCACTATGGTCATCCTTGTGAGAAATGCGTGCATGGTCTTGTCCAACAGGCACCAAGTGGCGCTTGGCTGACTCGTTAACACCGATCCCACGTCCTGGGTTCCTGATTTCCAGGGCCTACCCCATGGGAACTGCATGATGGGAAGAAGTTCCAGAGTCTTCCTCTCCTGGGCCCAATAGAATTGGGGTACCACCGGCCTCAAAGGAGCATCCTACTGAAGCCCCCAGGAAGTCACTCCACAAAGGATTCAGGAGGGAAAATGGCTGCTCAGGCCAGAGTTTGGGGTGCGGGCAGGGAAGAGGTATCACAGGGTCAATTCCTATAGGTCAGGGTGGGGTTTTCTGAGAGGTGGTTCTGTTCTGCAGAATTCTTTTGTCTGTGGGCAGCTGAAACACAATATAAACTAGTTTAAGGAAAAACTGGCATCTCTTGACCCTTGTGGTAGGAGCTTGTCTATAGCTTAACTGGCTCGGAACTCACCAG